AATTATAAAAATATTATCAATATGTGTTTAAAACAGCATGGAAAGGTATACCATGATAGGTCAAGGTCATCCTGGAGCTGTCCTCCCTCTGGTTGGCTTTACATTTTGACTTGAGGAGACAACAGAGGCTCCTTGTGGAGCTGCTCCCCCCCCCTCCTCCTTTCACAGATGCTTAGACTTTTGTTTTCAAAGTGCCCATATTATTTATTTTAATCTGATTTTACCAATTTCCAAGTATTGGAGGCCCAGAGACAGAAGGGGCAAGGTCATCCTGGAGCTGTCCTCCCTCTGGTTGGCTTTACATTTTGACTTGAGGAGACAACAGAGGCTCCTTGTGGAGCTGCTCCCCCCCCCTCCTCCTTTCACAGATGCTTAGACTTTTGTTTTCAAAGTGCCCATATTATTTATTTTAATCTGATTTTACCAATTTCCAAGTATTGGAGGCCCAGAGACAGAAGGGGCACCATGTTGGGATTTGTCCCAGCCAGGGCTTTTGGGGATAACTTGGTGTGACTGAATGGCCATCTGTCCAGCCACCCAAACCCTTCTGTTGTGAGATAAAGAGCTATTTTCCTTGCACAGTCAAACAACAGGATGAGCATGAAGCAGGCTCTTACATTAAAGGTGTTGTGGTTCCAGGGTTTCGGCAATGGCCAGCTTCAATAAGCCAGTTGCTCTTGATTCCCCCATGAGAGTTCAACACTAAGAAGACTGCATATACAAAGAACATACAAAGCCAAAAGTTGGGAAGGTCCAGAGGGTCCACTTGGGCTTTAGTTCCTTCCTTATGCCCTCAAGGCAGTCACATATGGATTTGTCTGAGCTTTCTAAAGGGCTAGACCATGGGGTTCTGTGATGTATGGATCACAAAACAAATGAAAACAGGCCTGTATTCCAACAGCAGTTTCTCACGAATGAGAATGGAGAAGTGAGGACTTCTTGCCAGTGGGCACCCTGTTCTGGGGAGGTATGATGCTGGCCATGTGGACAGCTGGCTCGTATTATTTCATGTTATCTATTGTCCCTGTGCCTCCCAGACATGCTTCTGATGTGCTTCATCATAGCAAAAGGTTTCAATAGAATCAGATGAAAAACAATGCCCAAAGAAGCAGCAATTATTTTCTAATTATAAAGTGCTCTGTTTTCTAAATATGCATTGCATTGTGTGTGTGTGTGTGTGTGTGTGGTGGGCATGTGTTCAACTGGATGCAAATGGAAGGAGCTTGCCAACAACCTGGTTCTAGCTTGTTTTCTCTATGTACGTTCTGCTCCACTGGACCATGTGCACCAAAGAGAACAGAGTGGTGCATTCTCCTACTTAGATCTGCATCTGCCATGTGGGTTTAACTGGTTAAAAAACCCCAGAGGCCCCCAAAATCTCCCAGAACAGGGACTACTTTCCACCTCATTGCTATGGCAGATCGTCAATCTGCTGAGAGCCTGCTTGTTCTGAGATCAAAACTGGTAAGTAAGCAAGATGGCAGCCAGTTCCATCCCTAGAATCAGGTAACCACGCCCCCACCCCCACCCCCAGCAATACAGTTATCGAAGATTAGCACTAATCATGCTGATTGATTTTTTTCAAAAATTCTGTTTTTCATGAGAGGCCCAAAGATCCCAAAGAGAAAACATCTCAGAGTTTTTTGTTTTTTTTTTTCTGTTTTGTTTTGTTTGAATAGGGTCTGTATAGCCCAGGCTGGCCTTGAACTTGCTACTTGATAGAGGATGACCTTGAACACCTGATTCTCCTGCCTCCACCTCCCAAGTGCTGAGATTTTTAGGTGTATGCTACTGTGTCTTTCAGAAACTTCTTTCAAAAGTCACAGCTCTGATCTCATATCATCAAAAGTTGCTAGTCTGCCAGCTTCATTTTAGGATCTAGGGGTACTGAAGTCATTCTATTGTGCTATCTAGCCTCTGTCTCCCTCTCAGCCCATCATGTCCTCTCTCTGTCTTTCCATCTATGTGGGATGATAAGGTAGTATCAACTAACTGCTGTTCAGCAGCATGTTGCCTTCAGGACTTTCTGTGGTGTTTGTATTATTTATAAAGGACAGCCAGCCGTAATAAAGTACTGCAACTATAAAGCTCACACAACAGAAGCTCACTGTCTAACCGTTCTGGAGGCTGGGAGTCCTGCATCTCCAGGTTGACAGGATCATCTGTTTCTGAGGGTGCAAAGGAGGCCTCTGCTTCAGATAGCTCTCCCGCTTCCAGGAGACCCTCAGCAGGTGGCATCACAGCCCCAGTGTTCATAAACTATTCTCCCTGTGTGCCTGTTTGTCCAAATTCCCCCTTTATATGTGGACACCAGCCATGTTGGATTAAGATCCATGCTGATGACCTTATTTTAACTTGGTAAAAAACTGTTTCTCCAAACAATGCCACATGCTGAGGTGGGGGGACTACCTCAAACCCAGTCATTCCTCACAGGACGGCATCGTCAGTCTTTCACTTCCACACACTTCCAGACACTTTGTTCAGGTCAGAGATCCATGTGGGAGGAAATAAATGTGGTACCTCAAAGCCATTCAGCTCCTCTTTGCTCAATAGCGTCATGGCAGGAACCTGCCCATAGGAATGCCCCCTGGTTCCTATGAAGCTCACCCACACCTTCAGTTCTCACCATTTTAATGGAGAGACCATCATTTGGGATCCCAGGTTTCTATTCTAAAGTTCTGGGGAAATTTCTCCTCTCCTCAAAAGCTGAGAAGGTATCTCTTGGCACTACTGGGCAGCTGTCCCTAATCCCAGGACTCAGTTAATGACCATACTGCTGCTCTCTCTCTGCTCCCGTCAAACCCTCCTACAGTGTGACTTCAATAGCCTGTCCTCAGAACTCTTAAGTGCTAAGAAAATTGACCCATTATCTTGCATTTATAAGATGTTACTTGTAACAATTTTCCATTCCCCTCAGAATAGAGGCCAAATTCACCACAAAGGCCAGCACAACCTCACACTATATCCCAAACACCCTTCTCACCTGACCACAGGGCTTTGGTCAGCTCTAGAGACACTGATCTTCTTGTTCTTTAGACAATTCTGCCTCAGAGCCTTTGCACTTTCTGTTCCTTCTAGCTAGAAGTGTGCTCTCGGGTCTTTGTTCATAGATCACCTCCTGGAGGCCTTCCATGGCCTTTCCATTTAAAAATCCCAAACTCTGTTTCCTGGTTTCTATATCCCCTGTGTGTATTAAGTATGCAGCCTTTATCACTATGAGACATCATATACATTTTGTTCTGTTTAAAAATTGTCTTTCTCCTCCATACCAGAAAGTAAGTTCCCCAGGGCAGGTTTTTTCCCCTCTTGGTTCATTCGTGCTGTATCCTAATATCTGGCACATAGAAACCCATCCATGGACACTGGCTCTCTGGATGAA